TGGAACCATGCGGGAAGCGACTGTCGGGGAATGTGCCGTGTGTGCAGCGGATTATCAGCACGCGGGAGGGAGGGCGGCCGGGGATCCAGAAGGTGTATTTTGGGGTCAAGGAGCCTGGGACGTTTGTTGGGGAGTCGGAGGGGTGTAAGATGTTGACTGCGGCGGGGATTCAGTGGCGAGTTGTCAATGGGTTGGAGAAGGAGATTCTGACGGTGGCTACGGCAGGACATGAGAATAAGGAGGAGGAGATCAAGGCTGCATTGGATCAGGTAGAGACTAATTTGGACGATGTCAGTGATGAAGAAAGACAGAGACAGGCGCAGATCCCTCGAAATCCTAAAAAGCGTTGAGCCTATGACTATATTGGTGCGACTGCATTAATAGGATATACTCATTTGTGGAGCGCGGCAAGTCAGTCATGGTACTGGTTCTGGCATGCATTTCATGTCGCGATGACACTTTCTTGATGGTGAGATATAATGAACAAGAATGCAGGTCTTCTTCACCGAATATCCTAAATGAGGCTTTCACACGAGTCTGCGCACTATATCTTGATCTCTGGTGATACTGCTCTATATATAGTTCCCACATCAATCGGGAATGCCGCGCAAACCATCTCAAACCCTCCAATGGTATTCCCAGGGTGTATCAATAGCTCGGAACTACACGACCAAAATTGATCATCTGGCCCTGTCCTTCGTATCTCCATCTGCTGATATATGCGGGCGTGGATCCGGCACCACCGTTCTTCGTGGCATACGCGCCAACAAGCGAGCCTATATCAAAATTGTCACCACTCAGCGATAACACTTGCTCGAGTATTTTGAGGCTACACTTACCAGTAAACCGTCCCGTATCACCACTGACAATCAGCGTGTTGGCAGAGCCGATGACCTTCTTCTGTGCAGGGTGCCGAGCCGGAGCAGCCGCAAAGACATACTCGGTGTCACTCACGGCCTGGATCTCAAGCCGGATGGTCTCTCCCTGCCATTCCTTGGGAACAGGCACAGTGGCTCCCGGAAGAGGACCCTCATAATTGCCACGGCCTTCAACGCGGAACCGGAAGGACAGTGACAGTCCGTCGGTTGTCTGGAGGAGGACAATACCAAGATCGATGTGCTGCTGCTGGGTTAGGAAAACGGTAACGCCCGCCTCCTCGTCGGCAACCTTGGGGTCGAAAGACACGTCCACAGTGTACGTGAACAAGGTGTCGGTCTGTCTGCGCATAACGAGCGACAGGCCATCGTCCGGCTTGAAGTCTGCAGTTCCGGTGAGGTTGTAGAAGGAGGGTGTCAGCCGAAGTGTATTCGGGTGGCCCTGAGGGGAGACGGTAAAATCCTCTGTCTTCGGATACCGCCAGTACAGGAAGTGCGCCGGAATCGAAGATCCTGGCCTGAAATCAACCTCGTCGGGTTGCTTGATCCATCCGCCCTCTCCGCGAGGAAGTCCCTTGTTCGGTCGTGGAAACGGTCCCTGCATCTGGCCCCTCACAGGCTGGATGACAGGCCACTCGCCCTTCTTCCAAGTCGCAGGGGCGAGCACCGCCTCCCGACCCATGGGATAGTTCTTCCATTCAGGTCCTGACCGGGTGCTCAACGCCACGGCCCACCAGTTGCCATTCCCATCCTGGAACAAGTCCGCATGGCCCACAGTCTGGAAGTACTCCGAGGTGCCCTTGTTCGACAAGAGTGGGTTGTGCGGGCATGGCTCCCAGGGACCCGTCCGGTTCCTAGATCGCGCCATGGTCTCCGAGTGTCCGAGCTCGGTACCTCCCTCTGCAATCATGAGGTAGTAGTATCCGTCTTTCTTGTACACGTGCGGGCCCTCAGGCCAGACGCCTCMGGTGCCGTTCCAGAGGTAGTCAACCGGGCCAATCGCCCCAGTCTTCAGATCGAGTGTGTACTGCTGAATCATCTGGTTGTCGGCAGACGTGACGTAGACAGTCCCATCGTCATCCCAGAAGATGTTCGGGTCGATGCCATGTACCGCGAATTCCAGCGGATCGCTCCACGCGGCGTCGTCGTACGGATCAGACGAGGTAAACACCAAGCCCTTAGTCTGCGGACCCAGGTACGAGACGATCAAGTAGAATTTGCCCTCATGATAGCGCAGAGTGGGCGCATAGATGCCCGACTGCTGGCCATCCGTGATGCGAAGATCAGGGATCTGGCTGGGCCGATTGAAGATATTGCTGGCCAGTTTCCAGTTCTGCAGATCTCGGCTTGCATAAAGAGGAAGACCTGGGAAGGCAATGAAAGTGGATGTGACGCAGAAGAAGGTGTCTTGCTCCGGTACGTAGGCACAGGTGGGATCCGAGTGCCAACCAGGGAAGAGAGGATTGGTATACGACTGATTACGAGTGGGATAGCCTAAGCTGGGAGCTGCCATTGCCAAGAGGAAACTGGCAGAGATCTTTGAAAGCAAACCCATGATGAGGGATATCGAGTATCAGTGATGATCAAGCTCCATTGCCCTGCATTGATGGCCTTCCTCTGCTTTTGGGCCCTACTTATATACCCAGACATAAAAGTGCGGGGAAAACGCTCCATTTCCACAACTGGCATAATGGTGAAGTTCATTGCATGGCAGGGTACATTCGTGATGCAGCGTGCATTCCTTCAAGGTAGCCGATTCAGGCTAAATAACCCATCCTATGGGTAAACTCGTTCAGGACCCTTCACGATTTGGGGATCAAGAATACGATCTGCACTCGGTAGATAGACATGCCGAACGGGCCAGTGATGCTACATCATAGTGAATATGAGAAAGACTGATTGGAGGACTTTTTCTGATAGCCAGAAATAAATCCGAAAACTAATCATTCATTGATGACAACCTGCATAGAGTCATAGGTGTTTTTGTGGGGATAATGCGCTGAGGCACTTGGCTCCGGCTAAAGAGCATAGAGACGAGCCTCTTCAGTTGGAAAGGACTGGTATATGCTCCGTTTGTGTTGAATCTATCATGAAGCGTACAAGGCAAAAAATATGGCGCGGTCACGGCTGGAAGGTAATTCCTTCCGGGAATTTCTGTAGCACTGATCCATTGGCGTTGGTAAATACAAGAGTGATGGATTATAGCGGATGGTTAAATTGTGCAAAGAACGAAATGTATTAATCTATGATCAGATAGCTCACAAAGTCTAAGACGAAGTATACGATTGATCATGACAGATTGGCCTTCATAAACTCCGAAATATCCTTGACGGCCGGATTGACATATTGCTCGTTGTCATAAAAGTCCATATGGGCTGCATTCGGCACAATCACCTTCTTGGTGGCCCCTCCTATCTTCTTGTCCAGGTTCTCCGTGTGCCAGAGAGAACCGGCCTTTTCACCCGCAATAAGGAGGGTGGGCTGCGTTAAGAACACATCCGCCAGGTGAAATGCGTCAAAGTTGAGGACACGCGGGACACTTCGAACGAGCATCTTGTTCTCAGCACGGGGGTGCTGCGCACGCGGTGTAAGGTAGTAGTTGTGTGCTTCTCTGAGATCTGCGGGAGTCTTGTCGTCTGGTTGAGGCGGCACATACGGCGCAGCAGCCATCTCAGCGCCCTTGTTTTCGGCTGAAATTTGCTGTGCAACCATCTTGAGGGACTCGACATGCTTAGAAGCAGGTTCGTCACCGTACCAGCCTAGTCGTGCGGAATCGCCAATGTTGACCATACTGACTGTAGCGAGTACTTTCAGACGGTAATCCGCTTTTGCAGCTGCAACGGCGTAGCCTCCGCCGGCACAAATGCCGAGGATACCGATCTTGGTGGCGTCAACATATTCCTGCTGCTCAAGGTAGTCGACGACGCTCCAGACATCGCTGACTCTTGCCGCTGGGTCCTCCAGGGAGCGAGGTTCGCCTCCACTCGCGCCTTGGTGAGAGGCATCGTAAGAGACGGTGACGAAGCCCTCTTGAGCGAGCTTCTTTGCGTAGAGACCGGCTGTCTGCTCTTTGACGCCACCACCAGGGTGGACTATCACAATTGCAGGAAACTTGACGGTCGACGATGTTGCAGGCTTGTGCAGCAGGCCTGCGAGCTGAAGTGGTCCTTTCTTGATCGAGATGGACGACATGGCGAAGGTTGGCTTGGGATTGCAGATGTGAATAGGATGTAGGTTCCTGAGTAATTTAGACTCAATCCCTGCAGATATCAACTGCTTTATATATTGTCAACCCATAATATCGACCTATATTGGAAATCCCGAATATTTTCGGATGCTGGCCAGCATCTCGGCCTCGAATTGTTTGAGAATGGATAGTGACGTCAAAACAGACGTCCGAAGCACATCGGTCTACATTTGGACACGGAGATTGGAGATACAGACACTTGATTACGGTAAGTCAGTTATGTCCGAGATGACTTGAGAATGTGCTACCAGAGTTGTTGAATGACAGATCGGAATTGACCTTCCTCCCCAGTTGATTGTGAGCTAATCACGTGCAAACAGTCCCTCCAGTCGACTCAGCTCTGTGTAAACTGCAACAATCAGTGACTCCTATCGTCCCAGCAATATAATAATAAATGTAATTCGCGCGCCGAATCGTTTATCGTGTCAAAAGGTGCTCAACGGATCATCGCAATCCATCACAATGCAGCCCGCCTCATATAGCTCTTTTTGGCGCGGTTCCAACACGACAGTGTCCCGTGCCGCAGTCTGCTATCAGTAGGATTATCTGAAGGTTGCGGGTTCGACCCCCGCCGGGAGTGGCACATTGTTGTTAGCTCCCGTGGCGCAATGGTAGCGCGTCAGACTTCTATGCTAGGGCCTGTCATCTCTCTTCTTTTTGCTTTTGTTCCGAATTTATATGCTCTGTTTCTCGGTAACAATCATACTATCTGCTATTTGATTGCTGGCAGCTCCTGCGACCTGAGTTAATCTACAAGGCCACACGTCCGATCCTCACGTGACCCAGCTCCCATCGGAAAATGCAGTGTCTCTGATGTGGCTAGCTTTTTGACATCTCGCAGCAATATCATCCGAAATATTGCTTAGAAAGATGATCCTATGGCGACAGCTGAGAATGGCGATCTCACGTTTTACCCGGCATTCTGCTTCAGAGCATCTCCAACCCATTTCACCTGGGTAAAAATGGCAGCGGCGGATGTGCATCGACTCAAGAGACGGCCGGGATTTGAAGGTATGCCAGCGTATTTGTCTAGATATTCATTACTCGATGCTTTGCCGGATACTGCATCGTTGCTTTGGTATTCTACTTCATGTTCCTTCTTTGTGTTGCACCCACAGTAGTCTTTGTCAGTATTCGCTATTACCTATGGTTGTCTGCATCACAAATGGCTTAGATACATACATACATACCAGCCAACCTATTCAAACATGGCGCAGACTAGACGGAAAGTAGCAACTCTAACGAACCCCCAGGCCAAAACATCTTCTTCTACCTCAACCACCCCATCCGCTTTGTATCCCTGGTCGGGATCATCGTCGCCAGAACAGACGTCTTCAAACGCACAATCCTCACATTAGACGACAGCAGCGGCGAGACCATCGAAATCGCCGTCCTGAAAGCCGAGTCCCCAGGCCCGGACTCTGCAGACCGGACTCCACACCGGCAGCAACAGCAACAGCCACCGGAAAAGGCCGCACGCCATGTCGCAGCAACCAACAGAACTGACCTGGACATATCCCCGCTCGTCCCAGGGACCGTGGTGCAGGTGAAAGGCACGCTGACCATGTTTCGAGCTGCGATGCAGCTACAGCTAGAGCGCTTCTTCCTGATCCGGGACACGACCACCGAAATGCGGTTCGTGGATCAGCGCAGCCGGTACCTGGTTGAGGTGCTGACTGTCCCGTGGGAATTGACGAGTGAGGAGGTCAAGCGGTTGCGGCTTGAGGCGGAGGCCGAGGAGGAGCAGGCCGAAGAAGAGCAGGACCGAGCGCGTAGAAGGCATAGGAAGCGTGCGGAGCGCGAGGAGAAGGACCAGCGTCGGATTCAGAGGCAGTGGGAACGTGAAGAGCAGCTGAGAGAGAAAGAGGCGGTTCTGTGTCAGGAAGCTGGGCGTAGGGCCATGCGCGCTATTCAGCGGAAGCGCGCCATGAATACAAGCGGTGGAATATGAGAGGGAGGATTTCTATATAGAACGGGAGGTGTTCCGAACAGGGTACATGTACGCTTATGAGAAATGACGATTTATAGATTATCGCACGTCCAGATAAACAATTTCATCAAGTCTTTTTTTTCTCTCTCTCAAGGCAACAAACACACTATACGCACACAAAATCAAAATCCAAAATGCAATGCATATCAGCAGATCGTTACACGTAAGTCATTAGATGGAAAGAATCAAAAGCGAAAAACAAACACACTATCATATCATATCAAACAAAGGTATCTTTGAGGACTGGAAAACGCCGAGATAGTAATGAGCCTGTCTTTGAACAACGACAATCTGTCTCAAGTCCGTCACTTGTAGGTATATGTCTTGTAATCGTACCCGCCACTGCTGCCACTGACTGGGCCACCACCCTGGCCGCCGAGCAAGCCACGGTAGTATTCTTCCTCGTTAGCCCAGCTGCTTCGGGAAGGAAGATGGTCATGATATTTGCTCTTTTCACGTTCCTTTTCCCTGTCCCGAACTGACTCGTACAGCCTCTGGTCATCACTATCACGGTACCGCCGACTATCGTCGATGATGTCTCCCGGAAGGGTGGATGACGCGGTGTAGTAATCACTGCCAGGGAGGCCAGAATACCGAGCTCCACCATTGTGCGAGCTGGACAGCAGGTCACTCTCTGAATGTCTGTAGTCACCTCCCCCATGCCCGCCTCGAGAAGAGCTCCGTGTCCGGCCATGTATACTTATTGGACGCTGAGAGCCGCTACTGCCTGCGCGAGGGTACAGAGGGTCTTGGCCGTATGAATCATATGCTTTGCGGGAGACAGGAGGGACCGATCCCTCTTTGGAGCGAGAACCAGTGGAGAAGGAGTCTTTGTGTCGGTGGGAAGAGCCACCTGCCTCTTCATATACCTTCCCTCCTCCCGGCTGCGCACTATATGGCTTCCTCTCACGCTCAATCGGCCGAGCTGGGACCTCTTCCTCGTCGTCATCTATGATGGCTGAAGACGACTGCTGCTGCTGCTGCTGACGACCCCGCTCTGTCACCGAAGGAGCTGTCTCGGCGGCCGATGCAGTTGAGCTCGTAGACATCTTGTGGCGGTGCGCAGCAACCTTCTTGAGCTCCTCCTCGGTGACTGGCGGCAAGTCGACACCACAATGCTTCGTGATGAATTTATCGAGCTCGTCTCTAACGGTAAGATTCGGTGCCTCGGGGAATAGCCGGCGAGGAATCTCCTTTGGAAACCTTTCTCGTCTGTCATCTGGGTTGCTGATAGGCATGTTCAGGACTGCTTTCTGCAACCGTTCGTATTCTTTGTCGGGGTGCGCTTGTATCATCAAGGTAGCCCAGCGTTCGAAACCTCGGGGTGTCAAGCCCGGGATGTCCGGCCGCTCGTTCAGTTTAGCCTGAACAAGGTGATGTTCGGCTTCCACTTCACGAAACAACCTCGAGATTGAAGACGTACGGTCATCGAAGATATCTACAGATACTTAGATTAGCTTTTAGTCGTAGACAGGACCAGCATTACACTTACCTTGCCACGGGTAGAGGTCTGAAGGAACTTTCGTATCCTCGTAGAACTTCTGCAGCTTCTCGGGAACGACCACAATAGTGTTACCTGGAGGGTAGTCCTCGATCTTGCACACTGTCAGATGCGAAATTCCTCCAATCAACGACATCCATACTTACCAGATGGACTGCTATGCCGCGCAAGAGCTGGCCTAGCCTCTTGGTTGGCTTGCCTTCCTCAAAGAGCTTGCCCCATATCTTCTCCAATGTTGTCATCTCAGTCACGGTTGAGTCCCTCAACGGTGGTTTTGGGCGCTCTTCCATTTTCTGGCCTTGATCGCTTGCCTGGCTATACGGCGATTGCCTTCTCTCGACGGGAGGTGCGGGGGAAGGTCGTGCACTAGGTTGAGCGCCGCTCGGAAATGTACCGGTTTGAGAGTACTGCTGGTAGTCGGGAGCGTCGGAAACGGCACCTGGTTGCGACGAAGATGGCTTTGGCGGTACAGGAGGGGCCGATTCATACTCGTTATAATTGTATTGGGGAGCAGAGCTGGGAGGCACCCACGGTGACGGCGTCGGACCGGATGGTTGCTGCGACTGCGGTGGATGCTGAGCTTGGATGTTATCCAGACCAGTTGCTTTGAGCTGTTGAATCACGGTCGCAGTGATTTGGGACAGGACTTCTGGCGATAGGTAGGTGGGAGTGTCAGCCTTGTGGAAAGCCGAGCTGACAGCCTCATTGATAGTTCCAGTGGATGGCTGCTGATACCATGAGTATTGCTGAGAAGGTGACTCCGTATATTGGCCCTGAGTTGACGACGGAGCCAGCGGAGGCACTTGGGGCTGCGGCATGTTCAACCGATCAGGGCCGTACTGCGAAGGATAGGGAGGAGGGTAGGTTGAAGAACGATGATCACTGGGCTTTGTTTGGCCTATATTGCCCGCCTGGTCGTACGGACTCGTGCTTCTCTGGAAGCCATCGTAAGCCATGCAGACTGTCGCAGTCACACAGACAAGTTAGCCACTCTCCGCCCTCTGCAAGGGTCAGAATTTCACCAAGCCTCAGCCACACTCTGAGATGAATGGAAAGTGGGAGAATTCTGTTGGTGATACCAGGAAGTGATGAAGCTCTCGATGTATTATACGCGGCGTGTGACGAAAATTTTGAAAAAGGCAAGTTATCTGCGCAGGCGTCAATGGGATGAGGGGCGCAGGACGGAGGGGCTCAGAAAGTGTGGAGCTTCGCTTTGAAACAGTAAGTGCGTCGTGCCGGGTCGCCAGCAAGATGGTATTATGAAGGCAGTTTCTGTAAATATCTGCCCGCGCACAATGGAAATTAAAGGAAAAAGAAGATCATCGATGGAGACATGCAGCGACGTTGACTTGTGAGGCTAATCTCAGCCTCCACGGGGTCATACGTCACCGCCCAAGGGGCGCTGCAGAAGAGGGGAAGGTCAAAGGAAACACATATTAATTAGTGGTTTTCAGCATTATGACTGTCGGTGTACCATTAAATGCTTTTTTAATGAGGCTACGCTCTTCCCTTGCTTGTTGCTAATGAGTTTGCAATACAGTACAGAGTGCTAGAGGTCCTTCGAAGAGACATTGGAATACGGACATCATCACCACTACTTGCTACATAGTATGACAATCCACGAGGGCCCGAATTGCTGTTGGCAACTAGTACAATAGCAGTTGATACAATTTCACAATTCCTACCCATGGATATCGCAAGCCAACTCTTGGTCCTTGCGGGGAAACGGAGCAGGCCGTCTAGTACCATGGTTCAGCCTGCTGTGCCCATTGGGACAATTGATCAAGAATAACGAAAGCGAAAGTCAACATTTTATTTCTCTGTTCTAACTTAGCTTGTTGACTGTCTCTGTGAAGCAAACTTAAGAATCGATCAGAGGTAATCTTCTAATCCTTCCTCGTTACCAGCCTCATCGTCAGAGGGGACGGTGGCGCCAATGGACTCCGGCACTCGCATTGTAGGCGCCTCGTGCCTCTCGAAACGTTTGCCCTTCTCGAATTCAGCAAATTGTCCACCGATAAGGGATGCACTTATTTAATAATGGACTTACCGGAACCTTGGCAAACTTGGGGTTGCCGGCCTTCTTAACAGGTTTGGTGACAGTAGCATTGACGTCCACTCCCCAGGACGCCCAACCGCCGTGAACGGACCCTGGGGTGCCAGAGGGGGAGCCAGAGCGGCGGTGAGCCACTCCGTTAGGATCGAAAGCTGTAAAAGGTCGTCCTCCGCGCGCCGAGTTCTCCTTCCCGTGGTGACCTTCAATGAGCGACATGCCGCCGATGTCCTCCTGCTCACCACTTCTGCCAACATGTTGGGCAATGGGAGCCGCTTTCAATGTGAGTCTCTGGCTCGATGCAATCAAGGACCGAGACTCGACTTGTCCCTAAAATTGTGTTAGTACCAGGATGTATGCATTCGTGGAGCATTTGAGGATGGATCTGCGTGACTGACAGTTGTGTACGTGTCGGGGGCAGTGGAAAGCTCACTCTCAGTCAAGAGTTTAGGCTCCTCGAGGACTGGTTCGGCGTCGGTGTGACTCTGCACGCAATTCATGCATCTCTGGGAAGAATCGGATGTCAGCTAGATCCTTAGCCAGTAAGAGAGACTTGAGGCAGTAATCCTACCGCTGCGTCCCTATCCTGTCTCTGAGCTTTGGCAAATTCATCAAGACTCTTGATCTTATCACAGATACAGCACTTGAGTTCAACAGTTTGATTTCCCGAGCAGATGCGGCATTTTGCGTTGTTCTTTGTCAAAGCAACATTCGCACCATGACTCAGGATGGCATGGCGAAGGGCTTCGAGTTGCCTATTGGAGTAGTTACTCGACGAACGAATCTTGTTGCAGGTTCCACATTTGATCCTATTCTATGTCAATCGAATGCGTGGCTAAGGGAGGAGCAAGCGACGGAGAAATGACTGACTTCTCTGGTATGCTGACGCTCTGGAGCCTACAATTGTCCTTCCATCAGTTTCTTGGTGTTATCGGTAGGCAAAAGTCTCTCATCAGCTTCTCAGTGGGGTATGGAAGCGAAGATGGGGATTAGAACCTACCGTTTCTTGATCTCGTCGCTGTAGCCTCCAGCATACGCGCTTCGAAATGTTGGAGACATCTGGTTTTGAAGGTAGTTCAAAGAGTAAGGTAGGGAATAGGAATCGTAAAGTGTCAGTGGTTTAAAGAGAATAGAGATCGAGGGCAGTAGTTCAAATGAAGAGTCATCGAGAAGAGGCAGCTGGTGGTGTAAATACTGCTCATCAACACTTCTGGACAGTTCCGTGAACTTCAGTCTAGGTTAATGCAGCGGTCTCTGGTGAATGGAACCCTCATATAGTGAATAGACGAGATGGCCAATCGAGCAGTTGGCTGAAAGATGATGCTAAAGGGTGGCTAGAAGGCTAGAAAGATAATTCACAGCAAACAGAAGAAAGCCATGATGGCCTGCCTGCATCTTAGTGTGCAA